CTAGGCATCCACAAACAAAATCAATCTTCATTGGCATATATATTAGCCAGGTCATGCTGCAATAACAAAATCCCATAGGTTGGATGAGTTAAATGGAAACTTACTTTCTCACAGTCTGCAGGCTAAGACGCCAGGGGATTTTACTCTGGTGAGGGCTCTTCCTGACGGGCAGAAAGCTGCCACCTGACTGTGTCCTCATATGACCTTTCCTTGGTGCTTTTGTGCAGGGTAGGGATGGGGAAAGGGGATGAGAGATTGAGCTCCGTTGTCTCTTATAAGGACACCGATCCTGTAGTATCAGGGCCCGGCCCTTATTACCTTACTCATTTAACCTTATTTCCTTAGTGGCCCTATCCCTAAATACAGCGACACTAGGGTTTTAAGGTTTCAACATAAGAATTTACGGGTGATACATTTAGTCCAAACATGTAAGTTGGAACTTATTTACCAGTTCTTAAATAGGCAATTTTAAACTGAGAGGTGAATTATTTTTATAAGGATAACATTTACTACAGTACAGAATATGAATTAGATGAAAGGTTAAATAGAAACAAACCAGTTGGAAGGCAATAGTCAACAGCAAAAATTATGATGTCCCAAATTAAGATATCATAAAGACAAAAATCATTTTCCCAAACCCTGATTTTTTTTGAGACAACGTCTCACATTGACATCAAGATTGGAGTGCGGTGGTATAATCACGGCTCACTGCAGCCTCGACCTCCCAGGCTCGAGCAATCCTCCTCACAGCTTCCCAAAGTGCTGGGATTAAATATGTGAGGCCACCACACCCAGCCAATTCATTTTATAATTCATCACTGACTACTTACGAGGAAATAAACCATAAAGCAACAAATCTAGTTTGTAATTGTTTATATTTAGTGTTTTAGAAACAGAATCCCATTATGTTGCTCAGCAACTCCTAGGCTGAAGCTCAAGCGATCCTCTCACCTCAGCCTCAGGAGCAGATGGGACTAAAGATGCCACCATGCCCAGCAGCAAGTTCAGTTTTTGAAGTGGCATTCTTGCCAAAAGGAATAAATGAAGAGCTACTCCTATTACAGTGGATAGGAATAGAAATGGAATTTCTATGAAAGTTTAGAGTAATATATAATATCTCCAAAACTTTAAGGGAATATTTTTTGTCCCATGTCATGAGACTAGTATTTAATAGGACTGCACTTTGAAAGATTTAGAGGAAGTCTGATAGAGGATGTCGTCTTACATAATGGTCTTGATGTATAAATTTTACTCAAGTCCAAGGATCAACAGTCTTCAGCAAATAAAAGATTTATATGGCACATTAATGACAACAAAATTCCCATTGTCAGTAGGAACTCTGTTACACATACTAAAGTGTAGCATTTCATGGCAGTCATTCTCTGCCATGTATGTGGTTTGAAGCTACATGGGCTATAAAAATCTATGGGAACTGCTGTCACAGGGGACATATAAAATGCTTACAGTAATGTATAGTTTTGAGCACTATCTAAATGCCAGGCATTTCTCTAGTTATTTTTCATCTGCTTAATTCCTCTCCATTTGACAGATTGGAAAACGGTCATGAGGTGGTAAGTAACTTACACAAGACATACAGGAAGTAAGTGATAGAGCCAGGTTATCAGTACAGATAGTCATCTTCACAGGCTGCATGTAACTTCTATGTTAGACTGATTTTTAGTATTCATCACCTTCTCTTGAAAGGGAAGAAATATGAAGCTAGAAATGGGTGTAGAAATGAGGGAATCAGACTAAGGTTGGTTGAATGTAAAGCCTCTGAACCACCTTGGCTTCTCTCACTGGAAAGCAAGGTATGGAAACAGCTCTTTTTTGCTGATATTGTTACAGAATTCCTTAGAAATATATGTTCCTGCTATATAAAATGAAACCTTCAGATATATTGATAAATTCAGACATATTTTGGTTTAGTGTGAATCATTTAATCTTATTGTAATTTCTAGATATGCAGCTTAAAGATTAATCCTCAGTTCATATTTCTACTCAATATGTTTAATATCCTACCATTGAAACACTTAAGTACCTGATATCGAACTCCTACCTTTTCAGGTATGCTTGGATTCTATTTTTTACCAAATACCTTGTCATTACCACGGCCCATTTAGGTTTATTCTTTCAACAACTTTGTCTCTATAGTAAGTTTAAGTTATCATATAGTTCAGTCTTCAGTGGGAAATGTCTTAGACTCTTTTCACAATTCTGGTTAAGCTAAGTCATCTACATGCTTAACATGAGTTTAGAGAGTAATCCACCTTGGAGATTACTCCTTAGTAAATTGAAAAGGCTCTATTTAAAATAACGTTTTTCATGGTACTCTTATACATATCTTGAGTCAGAAATTTTATTTTATATTTGGATACAATACTCACTGAATATTTACCTAGATGTTATTAATTATGCAAATTTTGATAAATGCATTGATTTATGTTAGAATCAGAAGTAAGCATATTTTAATTTCTGATCCCTAGGGAAGTCAGCCTAATTCTGAAGAAATAGCATTTGTAAGCATCTGAGGGAAAAAGATGATCAGGTCAGTGTAGATGGAATTTGCCATTTTAAATTCAGCAATTCCATAGAGATATACAGAAGGCAAATATACGGTTTGTATTGAAATCACATTAGATTTAGATAGTGTTGGTTTCTCTATAGCTTCTCCAGGCTGGAGCATAACCTCTATGTATTTATATTATCAAACCCTTCAGTGCTGTTCTTGTCAGGGGCTGATTTGTTACTTTGAAATTCATCTAGAATTTCCTGCAACCAATCTTCTATCCCCACTCCAGATGCTTTTGTGTTTCAATGTGACATTTTCCTATCCAAATAGATCAGTTGTTTATAGAGGAAAAATTACCTGTGTCTGATATTTCTAGCTGAGTTAGTAAGTATTTTATTGCCACATACCCTCTCTATCTTTAAAATGCAGCCATCACTTTAATTTCTGAGGAAGGGAAAGTCATAGTGCCTCTAACATATGTACCTGATTTTTATTAGGAAATGTAATTTTTACAAGTCCCAGCAGCGCAATTTCCGAAGTAAAATTATCCATAAGATTTCCTTAAATTTACAAATGCACCATGTTTATACTTGTTAGCATTCTGATTATTTATGTGAAGTACACATGTGTGCTCATGCATGCATGGGTACACACAAGTTCATGCACAGATCACTTATCAGCTAGTTTTTTAAAACCTAATTCTAGGTATTTTAACGAATTGCCCAGAAAAGAGCAAGTATAAATCATTTTTGTTGTTATCCTAGGACTTACTAGAAACAGCAAGACTTCCTGGCCCTACACTTCTGCTTTGCCCTCTTCCTTTCACTTGTCTTTGTTAATTACTGGGCATAGTTACCAAGTCTACAGGGCTTGTAGCTAATCAGGGAATTTTGTTGGTTTAGGTAAAAGCTTTTAGAATGTTAATGCATCACCTGAGGTGAGGGTGGAAGCATACTTTTGGCAGAAAATACTTCCAAAGAGAAAAGTCTGGAAAGAACACTCAGCTGAAACTTGGATTTTACCTCTCCAGGCAGCTCATATCCTCATTTCTCCCTATTTTGTTTATATACTTTTATTTGGTAAAATGAAAGTTACAAAGCCCTGAATTTAAAATTTGATTTACATCTGGATGCTCAAACAAACATTTCACTCTTTAATTTTAGCCTCCCATCCTCCCAAAACCAATTATGTATCTTTTTGTTTTAGTCTCCCTTTTGATGCTTTCATTTGGCAAAGTATTACATTCTAGACAGAAGTTTCCAATGCCCTTTTCACTGGAAGACCTTTACCTTGGCAGATGTCTCCCTAACCTAAATATTTGCTCATGATCTCTCCAAATGTTCAAACAATGCTGGGCAAAGTAAAGCACTTCTCAGCAATATTAATATTTCCTCTGGCCATTCTACGTTTATTGTAGCACCCATTTGATTAGGCACCAAAGGCATGGTAGATTACAAATCCAGTTTGTGACAAGCCTTATTTCACGTTTAATTCATTCTCTCCTAAGGAGGAGGAGTGTTTAATGTGAGCCCAGAAATACTACCACTCATTCAGTTAGCGGTTTTAAAAACTGCAGATTTTTAACTTTTCAGATTTTATGCAAGTTATGCCAGGGGCAGAAGAGCACTGCAGGGCCTGGTATATGGAGCTTACAGGATTCTGTCACTTTTCGGTTTTGCAACTCTTCTAAAAGCAGAGTTTTGTAGTTTACACCATGCTGCACCTGTTGCTAATTCCCCCCCCGCCCCCCCCCCGCTGGTTTTCTTCCCATTGGGTTTACTATTCAGATTTGCAGGTAAAACACCATGACACTGAGGATCTTGCAGATAGCTGAACACACACGGAGCAGCACCCACCTACTGATCTCTTTAATTTGAGCTTTTGAAGAAGTTTTGACTTGGAAAGTTTCGCAACTGAGAAGTTATGAGTATTCCACAGCTTTTGCCTGTTTTGCAATTTAAGTAGACAACCAAACTTCCACTTTAAGGACAAACAGGCAGCCTGTTGCTTGTGGATTTCAGGGCAAGTTGGCATTTTAACTTCAGGAATATACTTCAGAAAAAAGGGATTTGGCTCTTGAAAAAGCTTGGCTTGAAAAAGCACAGATACAAGCTGTATCTCTTTCAAGGTGCTTGCCCCCCAGAGAGCCACAGTCTAGATAAAGTAGCTAGCATGGCATTTTGGGATTCTTTCTAGAATTGTTTCCTAAAGAGACAGAAAGGACGCTAAGAAAGCAGAGGAGTTTTCACGTCAGATCTGAAATAATTCCTGGAAACGTACCTGTAGCCTATAAAGGCTGCCTTGATGCAGTAACGAGAACACTTGCTTAGAAGCTTTGTTCCTGAGTTTATTCACTAGTAAAGAAAGAATACCACACATTTTGCGTGGCTGAAGAGAAACCCAAATTAAAAAAAAAAAAAAGAAGTATTAATGCCCCCCTGGGGAAACAGACAAATACTATCACGAACACATTTATGTGGTTCCTTACCCTAGCCGTAGCTGACTGGGCCTCCGGTGAGCACCTGACCTAAAATCTTCCAGCCATATGCTCACGGCTCTTGCCACCACACGTTAAGACCGAGTAGGCCGTGTGCCCCCTCAGAGGCCTCCTATTGGTCAAACCTCATGAATGACTGGCCTGTGACCAATCAGAGGCTGAAGTGGAGACCCAGCCTGCAGTAAATCAGAGGCTGAAAAGGCTTGTTATCTTGGGAGCGAGGACCAGGCTGCATGTGCTGTTCTCTTGCCTATACTGCACCTGCTCTTCTTCAGCTTATGCAAACTGGCTGCACCTGCTGTTCTTTTGCTTATTCGAACTGGCTGCATGTGCTGTTCTCTTGCCTATACTGCACCTGCTCTTCTTCAGCTTATGCAAACTGGCTGCACCTGCTGTTCTTTTGCTTATTCGAACTGGCTGCACCTGCTGTTCTCCTGCTCATGCCTCAACCCCTGATCATCCCAATTCCCTATTCTCCTATTTAGATTCCCCTTGAGATAATTAATTTAAATTTAAGCTTGGTCACACTAGACAACTTTCCAGTGTGCAATAGTTACAGGTGACTGTGAGTACCATATTGGGCAAGACAGATAATAGAACATTCCAATCTTTACAGAAACTTCTGTCAGACGTCAGTGGTTAATCTCTGTTTATTTGCCTGCAAGGTTTTTCATATTCCAAGTCAAAGAAAATTCTTTGAATCAGATAGTATCCATATATTGTAAGTAACAGATAACATAATTCAAACAAGCTTAGCAATTAAGGAGATACACTTTTGAAACTGAAAGGCTTCAGAGTTCTTTTGACTCAACTGCATAATAGAATTGTTAAGAATATATTCTTTGCTTATTTGTTTTCCGATTCTGATTTGTGAAAACGTTGGTCTAATGGCTGTCTTTTCAACTTTGTCATAAGACGGTTGCCTGTGGCTCACAGGAATTCATAGTTCCACAAATCTAATCAAATCACCTATTTTCAGAAGATAAAATAAGTGTTGTTTCTCTGAATGTAAACACAAACTTTTCATAAAATTCATCAGCCCAAATTTCATCACTTTCTCAGTCTCCAAACAAATCTATGGTCAAAGAGTAAGGCCACGTGGCTTGGTTTAGGCAGCAAAACCAAAAATACATGGATCCATGAATAAAAATCATTATAGTTACGGAGAAAATGTTGCGGGAGGCACATATGATGTCTATTAGTGCTCTACATTAGTGGTTCTCAACAGAGGGTGATGTTGTTCTGCAGGAAACATTTGGCAACGTCTGGAGACAGTTTTAATTGTAGTGACTGGGGGCATCTACAAGCATGTACAGGATGTACAGCGTAAAGGCTAGTGATTCTGCTAAACATCCTACAATGCACAGGACAGCACCCACCCCCACAACAAAGCTTCACCTGAGCCAATGTAAATAGTGTTGGCATTAAGAAATCCTCTTCTATGTGATTGTCTCTTATGAAATCTAGCTTAAATTTAAAAATGACTTTAAGGACTCACATAAAGGAAAAATACAGTTAAATCTGGTCAGGTGTGATCTAGAGATTAACAAAATTAGAGAGTTGCAATGTTTTATATACTCCTCCTGCACTTCTTTGCAGTTGTCTTGGTTATTATGTGATGTAGATTCTCAAGTTATCTCTTTCATGGTAGCATCAACAATAACTATACTTCCAGATGGTTACCTTTCTCAGAATCTCCCAGCAAATAGCTGCTTCATTCAAGTTAGCTAGAATTGTATCATGTATCAGTTTCTAAACTAATCTATGATTAAATATTTGGTTAGTCTTACCTATTACACAACTGAGAATAGCTGGTGGGTAATTTTGCAAAGGAAAACCTGAACGCTCTGGATGAAGGTGGGGGAGTCTGATTCTAATCAGATAACTAACAAATGTCAAATACAGCTTTGGTGGATTACATTAGTAATTACCTTAGCCAGCGTCTAGCAGACTGCAATTGGTGTGTGATACAGTACTTAAAAGTATAATTGCTGAAATTGGATGAGGAATCAAATAAGTTCATTAAAAACTTGAAGCATAGACTTGGTCAGTAAACAGCTTTCTTTCCCACTGGTACCTTGTAATCTTATTGTTTTGAATTATCTGCTGGCACTTGTGTGTATAATACTCTATTTCATCAAGAAGAGGTAATATGTATAGAACAATTTTCTCCTGTTAAATTTTCAAGTTCATTTGTATCTAAACCTGTCATTAATTTTACAACATTTGACAGGTTACTCTGAGTAATGTAGTTTGCTCATTTGGAAAATTGAGGTAACAGTAGTAACTACTTTCTATTGTTGTTTCTAGAATCAGATGATTTTTAAAAATAACATTTAAGTAGTAACTGCATATTTGTTCAAATAACATTTAGCCACGATTGTTACTACACAATGGTATTGATATGTCTAAATCCATATATATTGCATTTCACTGTTTTCAGTCTAAGAATTGCTGAGCAGTCCTTCAATTATCCTTCTTTCTAAATCATATCTGTTGATCTCTGTATTTTACACCGTATCTGTATATTCTACTATCTCAAAATCTTCTTTCTTATTTCTATTGTTTAACAAAGATTTTTTTTTTCCTGGAATATTTTATTCATTTGAAAGATTGATTGATATAATTACTTAGTCTATTTTCTATTATTTCCCAAAGTCATAGTCTTTTATTGAAAAAAGATATAAAAACATCAACCTTACTCCCACTAATCCTTAAGACAGAAATGCATACCAAATATGTGCTGTGCTATTATTTTTATTTTTTATTTTTTCATACATGAATAAACAGAAAAGTGTGGGTTAAAAAGTTGGATATGATTTTCAATTTAAGCTCTTTAGTATAAACAAACAAACATAAGTTTGCATCTACATTAACATGATATAAGGTTAGAAGTGGTTTCCATACCCCTTAAGAGAAAAAGAAAGGAACTAACATGTCTTGTGCACCTATCTATATTATCTCAGGCAGATACTAGGTAATTTAATTAATAAAAGAGATGTTATCTTCATTTGGACATACACAATTAATAGAATGGAATCTCAGAAAAGTTAAATAACTTGCTGAAAGTCATGCATCTAGCAAGTGGTAAAACAAGAATTTGAATGTGGATCTGTTTGATTTCAAGTTCTGTGGTCTTTCTACTACTCCCGGCTGCCTTAGAGACTTATCTACATGCACCACTGCAATTTTATTCTATCAGGAGCTCAAAAGAATTTCTTGTGCTTTTGTGCCTATGCTTATTTTATTTTTTATTACATGGTATATAGGATGCTGCTTCTTCAGATAGTATCTATATCTCTTCTCTGGGAAGAGCTGTTTCTCTATTGGCAAGGCAATAGACTATGTTAAATTTCTTCTGCTTGTGTTTGTTTTCTGTGTATATTCTCTTATTTTCCAACTCTCTTGATACCAAATGTAAGCCCTATGCCTCTTAGAAATTTTTTTATTATGGTTCATTAAAAATATTTTCCCTTGTGTCTAGAGATCCTTTATTCTCTAATTCATTAATTCAGCAAATACATATGATGTGTCAGATGCTACACTGGTAACTACAGCATTCCTCAAGCATTTCCATTTCCTTAAGTAGAGGCTGCCAGCTTGCAGTTAGACATTTTGCTTTTATTTGATTGATAATTGTTTAATGATTTCAAACTTCTCCTTCCTTGATTTCAATTGTAAATTATAGCACATTTTTATGTTCCTAATAATTTATAATAATATGTGGTCTCAACAAAACTGAGCCTGCTATACAACTATAAAAACGTTTATTACCATAAATTCTCCACTTTTGAACAACTTTATAATATTATGATATGTAATTATAGTATTTTATAAGACTTCCAAAGACGTAAGTAGGGTACCTTTGTGTGCTTTCAAAACACTTTCATTTCTTCAAGAAAAAATATTGCTAACTTTATCTGAATATGACATTTACAAAAAGAAGAAAACCTGTAGAATGTCAGTAATAGCTACAGTGGTGAAAGGAGAAAAAAGTGGGAAATTATTAGATAGTTAAAATTTACCTTTATATATAATAGCAACAAAGAACAGACGTATAGATTTCTAGCTGGTTAGCAGAATAAACATTTTGCTGTCTCAAAAAATATTCACACATTGTTTATTTCATCTTAGGTTACTGCGGCTGCACAAGCCAACCACTCTAAAACATAGAGCCTTGGAACATCAACCATTTCATTACACATAGAGATTTTGTGGTCTAGTAATTTGGTCAGTGGTCAAGTGGCAAATTTTATTATTCCATGTGGCATCAACCAGCGTTCCTTAATGCTATTCCTCTGGTGTGTGGACCATTTGGAGAGTTCAGTGTGGCTTCACTTACATATCTGACACCCTGGCAGGAATAGTTTTAAGGCTGGGCTTAGCTGGACCTCTACAGTCAACTTTAGATCTTACAAATGGCCATCCTAATACTAATTTCAGATTAAGTCTAACTTCTTTCCAGGAAGTATAGAGATCCTAGAGATGGTGTTTTAAGAGACATAAGCAGAAGCTGCAAGGCTTCTCGTTTTTTAACTTTTAAGTTCAGGGGTACAAGTGCAGGTTTGTTACATAGGTAAACTTGTGTCATGGTTTGTTTTTTTTGGTACAGATTATTTCATCACTCAGGTACTAATCTTAATATCCATTAGTTATTTTTCCTGAGTCTCTCCCTCTTCCCATCTTCCAGCCTCTGATAGTCCCCAGTGTGTGTTGTTCCTCTTTATATACCCATGTGTTCTTATCACTTAGCTACCACTTATAAGTGAGAAAATGTGGTATTTGGTTTTCTGTTCCTGTGTTAGTCTGCTAAGGACAAAGGCTTTCAGCTTCATCCATATCCCTAAAAAGGACAAGATCTCATTCTTTCTTATGACTGCATAGTGTTTCACGGTGCATACATACCCTGTTTTCTTTAGATGGTCTGTCATTGATGGGCATTAGGTTGATTCCATGTCTTTGCTATTGTGAATTGTGCCACAATGAACATATGCACACGTCTTTATAACAGAATGGCTTATATTCCTTTGCGTATGTACCCAGTATACTAATTGCTGGGTAGAATGGCATTTCTTATGAGTTACTTTC